TTTAAAAAATTTGGAAACGTGAAAAGCCTCTTAACGTCTACACTCAAAAGGCAGTTCTCGTAACTGAGAAAATGAGAGAAGTATCTTCCTTTCAGTTGTGTTTCAAACAATGATAGCTTTCTCCGAAATCCTTTGATGATTCTGTAGAGATCACAGATAAGGTTATCTTTTCCCTGAAGTTTAAAGTTCAATTCATTCATGTGGGATGTGATGAAAACTTTGACAGCCAGGTAGAATCTGACAGAAGTGTATCAGCTCTATCCTTTTCGGTGAGAAAAAATATCTATTTCTCATCGGAGCTTATAAAAACGAAACAGGACATTACCACAACTGAGCTACCTCACTGCTGTGTGATAAGGCAAGTCATAGAATTCAGAATCAATTTCTTCAAGAAACTGACGGTGATTAAGTGCATGACCCCGAATGAAGTTCACCACAGAAACGACTGGTTTCAGTACGCAAGAAATATCCAAGTCTTTCCCACAGAGTGCTTGCTGATGTATAATGCAGTGTATAAACAGAGCGCCCGGGAGTTGAAGATATTCCAACTTAGTTCGTATCTTCCTCACCAGACCCTTCTTCACTCCAGCCATGTTTTTTCCTCCATCAATTGTAACACATCGAAGCTTATTCCACTGAGAGTTATAGCCTTGCAAAGTTTTCTGCACTTCCATGAAAATGTCTTCTCCAGTTGTCGTTCCGTGCATGCGGCAAACGGATGCCAACAATTCTGTGATCTGAAAGTCCAAATTAACACAATGAATGAACACGAGAGGTTGTGACGTACTCGAGAGATCAGTACACTCATCCAGCACCAGAGAATACCACAAGAAGTTCCTAGCTTTCTCGCGTATCTGTAACACCATGTTCTCTCCAAGTTCTTCTGTTCTCCGCTGAAAGGCTGATACTTCCAAAAAATAGGCTTTCTCAGGACACAAGTCATTTGCTGCTTCCATCATACACTCTTTGATGAAGTTGCCGTCAGTAAACGGTTTTCCTCGCTCTGCCATCTTATGCACTATTTTGTAACTTGTACGAGTGACAGATTCATTTTCAGCAAACATTCTCGTGAAGAGATTCCAAAGATTCATGAACTCAAATTTCTCAGAACGCAACTTTCCAGAAAACTTCGAATATGTTGACAGATGTTTTTTTTATAGTGATGCCGAAGATTGTACTCTTACAAAACGGCAACACTTTCGTTGCATATCATGTAACTAGCTTTCTGGTTGTTTGTTTCTACAAAGAAGTACTTTTCTCTCCATTCTTCATTGAAAAGGTGACACTCGGCATCTACTTTTCTTTTCTTAGTAGCCACAAGGATGGGGGAAGAAAACAGGGTCTGAAAATGAAAAACAGTTGTTTATTTACACATTGAACAGTCTACCAAAAAAGTTTTAGAAAAATAATAATTTAAAAAAGTAAACATGCCAAACTAAATGTAAATAGTTTATGACATTAAATTACATTATTACGTAATTGGTTTAAAAGTTTTTTTTCCCCGATAAGTTATTTGATTAAGTAATTTTTATAATTTGCCAATGTATTTAAAATTTATTATGTAAGTTAATTAGAAGAGCTTCATAAAAAACAATTAAGATCATATTTAATAAAAATATTAAGTCTTAATAGGCAAATATAGTATTAAGAATTTAATACTAATTTAAGTAAAATCTTCGTTAATTCAATTAAGTCGTTTTTTTGAGTGTATAGCGATTAAAATATAGGGCTTAAATAAATATCAAAGTTTGAAAATATTAGATGCTTACCTCTTGTGAGCTCTTTCAACACTCAAATATGCAAAATATACGACATAATTCACTGAAGTCATTCCCTTTTATATACGGCACTCTTCAAACCGGTTTAAACACGCAATACAAGTTAAAACACGATCGCTGCAGCACGCTCGTAATCGCTTTTCTTGGAAACCTCATTGCAGGTACTTAAACAAAAAGTCCTCTGATATCCAAAGTCGTCTGTTCGGGTTTAATCCGTGTATTGAACCAGTGTTCCAGATTTAAATATAAATATATAAACACATATGTACAACACACAAATATAATGTAGAAGCACACACAATATGCGCACACGTCTTTTCTATCACAAAGTTTTGTAACCAGTCGCACACTCGTCACACTACTTTTATCAACTGCCTGTAAGCATTGTATCATCTTACAACAATGCACGCAGAGGTGACTGCAGGAATGAACTGTCATTGCAGGTACTTACACAAAAAGTGCTCCGATATCCAAAGTCACAAAAAGTCGACGAATATTTTATTTCACTGATTTTCCTAAAACTTATATTACTGCCA